AACAAACCCCGAGCAGCACAGACAGACGATGACGCGTTGAGTCGGATCAGGACAAACTCTGTTCTGTAAAGGTTCAAACTCTTCATGCTGACCTCTGTTTGACCTTTACCGATCATCACCCCCTGCAGAGTTCAGAGCTTCCTGTAGGTCAGACAGGAAGTGAAGTAAAGGTTGACGGCAGCAGGGAAGGTGAGGAGGAGGACGGATGTTTTTTAAATGATTCAGATGCACAAATATCAAACGTTTTAGTCTTAGACAAAGAAAAACAACCTTTTAAATAAATTCAGACCTATAATAAATATTCACCATAACTCAGTAACAATGAAATAACAATAAAATCCCTCAGTGGGGAACAGAAATGCAGCACCTGGTTGTCTATTGATCAATCAAGATCCTTTTTTTACATTTAAATCTGGATTTTAAAATAAATGACCAATGTGATCTTTTGGTTTCCATTAACCAACTGAGCTGCCATCTTGTTTGAAAAGAGAGTTTTGCAGCTTTCAGTTCAGGTAAACTCTACAACGGAGTTTATTTTTAAATTATGACAATAAAGTCATAATATTAGGAGAATGAAATAGTGATTTTATGAAAACCCCAACAAAAAAATTTTAATGAGCAATGTTAATTGTCTTGTGAATTTCTATGTTGGTATAAGTTTTATAGAAAATTAAATACTTCATCTTTTAACACAACAGCATTAAATTACTCACTTCTTTGAGTTTATTTAGAAGAAAACAACATAAACTGAGCTGCTCATGTCTGATCCCGATTCTTATTAAAACAACAATTTTCTACTTATTTTTTGGTAAAGTTTATTTCTCGTAATGAAATAAAACATATTATTCTTTGTTGTACAATTCGCAGAAGGAATGATTGAAATAAAAGCCACTTTTAAAAAATATTTTCTGTAATTACTTTTTTTTTCTAGAAAAAAAAAAGATTAAAATTGAATCTGGTATTAAAAATACCAAAAATCAGAGCTTTTATTTTGAAGCCATATCACCAGGCCTACTTTGAGTTAATATTTGGTTTAGCCTAACAGTTTTATTTATCTTTCAGTCCTCTGAAGTTCTCACCTGACTCTGATTACCTGGAATAAAGTCCATCAGTCCCTCTGTTATTTTTTTCCCCACCCGGTATTTTTGGCATTCCAGGCGTTCCATACAGAGAGACTAGCTGGCTACATGTGTCAGGGTAGCTTCATTCTGAATCCCAGTCAACTGATTACCCTGGTACTACAGTAGACAGGTTGCATTGATGGTTTATATGATCTTTGACCTTTAAGGTCTTTTATATAAAGCCAGAGGTTACAAAGCATTGACAGGATCTTAAAGGTATCAGCCAGGAGGAGGGATGTAAGCAATTTCCACAGCATTTTAAACATCACAGGACAGAAGATGATGCAATGCTACAAAAACTGGAAGTTTTTCACAAATTAGTGACAAAGACGAGACGGAAACTGATCATACAGGCTGTTATGATGCGTAACCATGGCAACAAGGTATTGTTTTTACAACTGGGAGCAACTGATTAGCATCGCCAAAGCCAGAGAGAGAAAGAGGAAGTTCAGCCATCATAATTGACATGAATCATATCCCTGGCTCTCTCTGCTGGCGTTCTCAACAAACGGGTTAAAGAGGAGCAGCTAAAGCAAAGGAGGTGGATTAGCAGAGCTAGCGAACAGACGGTGTCATCCCAGACATGATGCTGTGCTACTGAGCTATCATAATGGTCACACAGCAGCAGGTCAGAGGCCTCTTCAGATACTGACTGCTACTTCTGCAGAAACTGGGCTGAGTTTCAATATTTTAACTTTGGGATAAATAAAGTATTTTAAATTATAGTTTCTTATCCCCCTGTGGCCTAATGTTTCCAGTAGAAATGCTGAATTCTCAGCCATAAAGACTGAAGGCTAAATTTGAACCAAATTGTGTTTACTCAGCGTGTTAGCTTAAGGGTGTGTAAACTTTTGTACTGCACCTTTATTTATGACACTTTTCCTCTCGACTGTTTGTTTTTCCTATGAGCCGAGCAGGCAGAGAACCAGGGGTATGTAAACTTCTGAGCCACCGTGTGTCACCTTTAATTTTTTTATTGCTTTACACACACGGTGCAAATAAAGAAATAAAGAAGCAGAGGAGACGATTCAGCCGGAATAACAAGGAGAAAATCAAGAGGTTCAATTCTTGTACGCTTGATTAGCAAATTTCTAACCTTTGACCTTTAGTCCACTTCTAAGTTGAGGTGACTTGAGGCCCGTTTCCATAGTAACCGCTGGGTCTGGGTCTGATACCATCAGTTGGCGGAAGGAGCGGCTCCAAACACACGGCTGTGTAAACATCAGCCGTAATTATGGCTCTGTAAACATGGCAACAATAACTGCAGGGGAACTTTGACCTGCTTGGCTCTGAACCAATCAGAGAGCAGCACACGCCCACCAATCAGAGAGCAGATATGAGTTTTAAATGTTTAGTCGGACCAGAAGAGCTGGTTGGTCCCAGTTCATTCCCACCAGATGAGAAACTCAGGGTTCATTTATACATCCTTCCTCTTTATTCTCTGTGCTGGACCTGCTTGTTGTGACTCGGTGACCTGTAGGGGGCGCTGTGACCTCCCGGTGTGTTTGGTGGTTAGTTCACTGACCTCCAGTCCCAGACCTTCCTCCTCCTCCTGCTCCTCTTCCTCCTCTGATCCAGAACTCCTCCTCTTCCTCCCTGTGTTAAACCTTCCCTCTCTGCTGCAGTTGAGCTGCAGGAAGATCAGACCCCAGTAAACAGATGGGGTATCAGAGGGGCTTCTGGAGGAGCCTGGCCGGAGGAGGAGGAGGAGGAAGAGCAGCTGCTGTGGTCAGGTGTTCCTGCTCAGAGCAGAAGGTGACGATCTGCTTCAGGAGCGCCTCGGACAGCCGGCCGCTGCGCCGGATCGGTGAGTGAAATTCTCTAAAAGCCGTGAAGGTCGGGCTTCCTGCCGGTTCTGTCGGGTTCTGGCTTTGATCCGAGGTTCTGCTGGGCGTAACGGACCTGACAGGAGTCCAGATGTTTCATGGGAACTGACTGGATCAGCTCCACAAACTTCCTGCAGGGTCAGTGAACGCCTCGCTGGGCGGCTAACGGACCGCCGCAGCATGGACGAATGTTTTCATTCAAACTCCACTGCTCCTCCTCTTCCTCCACCTCCTCCTCCTTCTTCTCCTCCTCTTCCTCACCCTGAAGCTCTCTGGACTTTGCTGAGTTTTCCACTTTCTGTTCTGCTACTTTGTTCAAACCTCAGAACAACTTTTATATTTTGTTAAAAAAAGTTTTCTCATTTTAATGAGAATTTTGGTTTGCATCTAATTTGACTTTCTGCCAAACTGTGACATCGTTTGTGTTTTTAACTAGTTTTGGATTTAGTTTTAACAAAAATGCTCTGGTTTTATTGAGTTTTGGGTTTCATTTTAATAAAATTGTAATTATAAGATACAAATCTCAAAAAGAAGCGTTTTAATTTTTATTTTTCTCTTTCTAATGGGTTTTGCATATCATGATACCGAGAGTTTTTACATTAACATGTTTATTATTCATATTGTTTATATTGGAGGTGCAGAAAAATCAGTTCTATAGAGAATCGAGTTGCTCAAAATGCTCAAAAATCCATTTTAATCTGCTTTATTCTTTGTAAAATTATAGTTTGAATATAGTTATCAGCTGAGTTAATACTGAATATTTAAGTAAAATAGTTTTATGCATCAAACTATTTAAATACAAACTGATGGATTTTAAAACAGAACCTTGTAGAATATTCTAATTAAATGTTTTACTGTCATTTCTTCTCATCAGAGATAAAATGATTCTCTGGTGAAACATTATATTATTATTCTGTATTAATACGTTTGAGTTTTTTTGTCTCCTTTTCGATTTTAATTGTGACAAAAAGTCAGAGAAAATCTGCAAGGAGGCCAAACACATCTCTGCATGATGACCTTTGACCTTTGCAAAGGTTTCATTTGTATTTAATTTGTGTTTCCAAAGGAGGAGCAGCTGTTTGAACAGAACCTCAGGTTCTGCTCTAGAGAAGGTCCTGGTTTTGGTTCTGATCCTGGTTTTGGTTCTGGTCCTGGTCCTGGTTCTGGTCCTGGTTCTGGTCCTGGTCAGTGAATAAAAGTTGAAGTTTATTAAAGTGGGCCGAGTCGGGGGCCTTGGGGAATCCCAGGAGTCGTCAGTTGAACTTTAACCTGCCGTTTGTCCTCCATTTAAAGGAGCGGCGCGCCGCCTCACTGGGTTAAATCATGATTCAGTGTTTGTGGTTCTGTTCATTTTGTTCTGATTTCTCTTGAATCGATCAGCTGAAAGGAGCGTAAAGATCTTTGGGAATGTTCAGTTTCTGCCTGTTGGAACCCGATGAACTCTCCATTCCTGGAGTGCCTCAGACGTTTGCAGCCGCTTGTGATTCACTGCTTTGGTGTTTTGTCAGGAGTGTTTCCTTTAAACTCATTTTTCACTTCCTGTTCCTGCAGGAACCTGAAACAAACTCCTTACGGTTTTACTTTAGATGCCAGAAGATCCACAGTTTTAGTCCATTTTTTTCTGGACTCAGTGACCTTTGAACCGCAACTCACTGAAGCCAGCCCCTATGCACAATTTGGAGTGGTGTGCGCTTAATTTTGGTTTAATAAGCTGAAAATCTCAGATGCTATGCATTTCGTTTACATGAGAAAGTTTCTTATTTTAAAAAGTTTTGCGTCTTATTTTAACAAAGTTGTTGCTTTAATGACGTTTCCTCGTAGCGCCTTTTCCATCTCGTTAAAATGGTTCTGAATCCCCTTTACATGAGAAATTTCCCGTTATAGCGCGTCTGCTCCTGATTATGTCGGGTCTCTGGCAGTTTTGATATTAAACGTTTTTCCCTGGATTCTCTTTTTGGTTGTAATTGGCAGTTTGAGCCCATAGGGGGCGGTATGGTCACAAGATGGTGGTTTTGACTTGTTTTCTGATGTGATTTCTTTGTGTGGTCGTCAGAGTCGCCTCGCCTGTCCATCGCCTCCATCAGCAGCGATGAGCGCGCTCCGTCTGCCACGCCCTCTGACCCCTCCGACCCGCCGGCGTCGGGCCAGCGCCCGCTCAGCCTGATCTCCACGCTGTCCTCCGGGTCCGGGTCTTCCAGGGACGACTACGTCGCCCCGCCGCCGGAGTCCGAGGCGTCCTCCGGCGTCGACCTGAACCAGAACCCGAGTCCTGAGAAAAGGGGGCGGAGCTTCGTTCACAACAAGAACAACAACAACAAAGCGTCGACTCCGAGCCGAGCGTCCAGCCGCCGGCTGCCCTTCGTGGGCGCCACCATGGTGCCCGACCCCAAGCTGAAGTATCTGGATCGCATCGTCATGGAGATCATCGAGACGGAGCGGATGTACGTCAGAGACCTGAAGATCATAGTGGAGGTGAGTCAGAGGCGCCATGTTGGCTCTTCCTGTCCGTCTGACCTTCATTCCTGCTGATCGGACCAATCGGATGCTCTCCTCCTCTTCATGGACTTTACTAGAGATACAACTAGAGCTGCAGCTCACGATTACCAAAGTAATCGATTGTTCTATTGGTTATTCTGACAATTAATCAATTATATTTTAATGATCAATCATCACAATTTTCAAAAACATTCACACTGCAGATTTTTCATTTAACCACTTCAACCTTTTTGATTCAATATTAGAAATACTTCAGAAGATGCAAATGATTTAATTCATTAATTATTAATCAGTTGATTACTGAATTAGCTGATTAATAATTGGATAAATTATATTAGTTGACAATTATTTATCAATCATTGCGATTAAGCTGACTAGTCATTTCAACCACAATAAAAGTTCCTGACACCGTGTTTTCAGTGAGGGTACGGTCCCATCGGCTCCCCCTGCTGGTCTGGAGGTCGTCCTTTCTGTGCAGTGAGTTTGCAGTTCAGGTCTCTCATTTTCACCTGAACAGGTTTTTGGTTCGGACATTTCAGGCTGATTCCAAAAAGATTTCCTCTGTTTGACGGGTGTTTTTCAAATCCACGAAGTTCAGCTTGAAACAAGAAGCTGCTTCATTTCTTTAGGGGACATTCAGCTGACGGGGACACGGACAGGCGGAGGACATGTCCTGCTGCTGGAGGAAGTGGCCGGCCCTTTAATTAACAGATTAGCAGGGATTACCTGCTTATGTAACGCCCAGGGTCAGAGAGAGAGAGAGACAGTTAGCAACACAGATCAGAACCAGAACCAGGGGAGACATTTTAACCTGGATATGCTCCACAACCCAGAAAACAACAGATAGATCCATGGATACAAGCTGGATGATATTTGGTCAAAATAAATAAAAAGACTTGTTTTATTTTTTAGCATCAGTGTGAGTGCCTTTAAAAGATATTAAATACTGAATGAGCTCTTTAAAAAAGTACAAAATAACAAATTTTTCCATTTAATACCATAAAGATACATTTTGATTTCCTCCAAACTGAAGGATCCAACAGATCCAGTCTGCCCCCTGCTGGAGGAAAGTCAGCATTACAATCAAAACTGTTTTGCGATTATGTATAAAAATTATTAACATTTAATTCAATTCTCTTGATTTTTTAGATGTGACTTCAGTTTATTTATGTTGAATTCTGAAACTGGAATAAATCCAGAAAGAGAAAACCTTCATCCTCATCCTCCTCATCCTCCTCAGGATTACCTCGCTCACATCATCGACGAGTCGGAACTGTCCAACCACCCCAAGCTGGTCTGCGACCTTTTCGGGAACATTGAGGACATCTACGAGTTCAACAGGTGAGGAGAAGCTAGCTGACGCTAGCCGAAGCCAACTGAAGCTAGCAGAAGCTAACTGAAGCTAGCAGAAGCTAACTGATGCTAGCAGAAGTTAGCTGAAGCTAACTGAAGCCAGCAGAAGCTATCTGAAGCTAATTAAAGCTAGCTGAAGCTAACAGAAGCTGGTTGAAGCTGGCTGAAGCTAACAGAAGCTGGCTGAAGCTAACCGAAGCTAGCAGAAGCTAACTGAAGCTAGCAGAAGCTAACTGAAGCTAGCAGAAGCCAACTGATGCTAGCAGAAGTTAGCTGAAGCTAACTGAAGCCAGCAGAAGCTAGCAGAAGCTATCTGAAGCTAATTGAAGCTGGCTGAAGCTAATTGAAGCTAACAGAAGC